GGGCCTGAATAAAACAAAAAAAGCAAAGGAAAAGTGATTTCCTTCTCTCTCTTCTTGAGCTGGAAAGTCCATTTCTTCCTGCCCTCAGACATCAGAGTTCCTGGTTCTTGGGTCTTTGGACTCTAGGACTTACACAGCAACCTCCTGGTTCTTAGGCCTTTGGCCTTGGACTAAGAATTATACCATTGGTTCCCTTGGTTCTGAGGTCTTTGGACTCAGATTAAATTATGCTACTGGATTTCTTGGCTCTGCAGCTTGTAGACAGCAGACTGTGGGACTTCCTGGTCTCTATAATCACAGGAACCAACTCCTATAATAAATTTTCTCTGATATATATCCATATATATCCTATATATGTACTGTTTCTGGAGAGCCCTAATTAATACATACAGTTTTTTTAATTAACAGGAGGTAGTACCATCTGCCAGGGACCTACTCAATATGGACATTAGAGAGAGAGAGAGAGTAAGTGGGGGAGGGGCAGAGGGAGAGAGAGAATCTCAAGCACACTCCATGCTGAGCATGGAGCCCGACATGGGGCTCAATCTCATGACCTGAGCCAAAATCAAGAGCCAGACACTTAACCAACTGAGCCACCCAGGTGCCCTACATACAATTTTGATTCCCTTCTTATTTCCTTTTCTATATAGTTTTTAGTTATTTTCTTAGTAGTTGGTCTGGGTATTACAATAACAATCTAGCTTGAATTAATACAAACTTAGCTTCAAAAGTCTGCAAAATCTCTGCTCCTATACAAACTCATCCCCCCTACCATGTTTTGTTGTCAAAAACTACATCTTTATGCATCGTGTGCCCAATTAACATAGATTTATAATTACTGTTTTATGTATTTGTCCTTTAAATCATATAGGAAAAAAACCCGAGGAGTTGAAAATATAATTATGCTGGTTTATATTTACTTATATAGTTACCTTTACAGTGTTTTTTATTTCTTCATATAGTTTCAAGTTACTGTCTAGGATTCTTCCATTTCAATTTAAGGCACTTTAGCATTTCTTTTGCAGCAGGTCTACTAGTGACAAACTCCTTCAGCTTTTATTTATCTTGGAATGTCTTGACTTCTCTCTTATTTTTGAAAGATAAATTTGCTTAATATAGAATTCTTTGTTGGAGAGTTTTGTTTTTGTTTTTTTAGCACTTTAAATATGTCATTCTGCTGCCTTCCAGCCTCCATGATATTTTATGAGAAATTGGCTGTTACTCTTATTAAGGATCCCTTTATGTGATGAACCACTTTTGTTGCTTTCAAGATTCTCTTTTTGTCTTTGACTTTCAACAATTGTATTATAATGTGTCTCGTTGTAGATCTCTTTGAATTTATCTTACCTAGAGATTGTTGAGCTTCTTAAAGTTATATAAATTTAAAGAGTTTTTGGCAATTATTCCTTCAAATACTCTTTCTGCTCCTTTCTTTCTTGTCCTTCCCAAGGGCAACTTCCCAACTCCCATTGAGTTTATCTTGGCATGCTTGATGGAGTCCCACATGTAACTGAGGCTCTATTAATTTTTCTTTGTTCTTTTTTCTTCCCATTCCTCAGAGTGGATAATCTTAACTGGCCTGTCTTGAAGTTTGCTGATTATTTTTCCTGACTGTTCAGATCTGCTGTTGAATTTTTCATTTCATTTATTATACTTTTCAACTCTAAAATTTCTAGTTGGCTTATTTTATACTTTTTATTTCTTCATTGATATTCCCTGTTTGGTAGGACATTGTTTTCCTGGTTTCCTTTAGTTATTCATTCCTAGTTTCCTTAGTACTTTGGGGATAATTAGGACAGTTGATTTAAAGATCTTTATCTAGTAAGTCCAATAGCTGGAGTTCCTCAGGGATAGTTTTTCTTCATTTCTTTTTTCTTTGAGTGCTTCATAACCTTTTGCTGAAAACTGAACATTTTAATATTATAATGTGGTAACTCTGGAAATCAAATTCTTCCCTCTCTCCAGGGTTTGTTTTTGTGGCTCATAGTTTGTAGTTGTTTAGTGACTTTCCCAGACTACTGTTTCTTTGTCATGTGTGGTCATAAAGTCTCTGGTTAACTTAGTGGTCAACTAGTGAAATTTGACAGACTTCTTAAATACCTGGAGCCAAAAAAACAAAAAACACTCTCCCAGTCTTTGCAGATTAACTGTGTTGAGGTACACTCCTTCAGTGCTTTTAGCCAGGCTGTTTACATCTCTGCTTTGTCTTTCATGTCTCACATGTGCAGAGACCAAAGGTCAGCCAGATGTGAAAGACTAGGGTGTTCTCAAGCTTTTTCTAAACATGGTTCCAACCCTGGGCATGCATGTGCCCCTTTCGATTCCCTAGTATATGTGGAAACTTTCAAAGTCTTTATTCCCCATGTATTTTTCCCCCAGCATCATCTTCTCAGGTATTTTTTCATTTCTGTACTGTGTGCCTGTCTGTTATCCCTTGCACCAGGAGGTTGTGTCTCATATTTCCTTTTAAACGATTTTGAGAGATGCTGTCCAGGAGAAAGTTCCAAGGTGGGCGAAACAAAAGGAAGCCCCTTAGCCAGTCCTTCAGGGAATCTCCAGACATGTCAAACCATGTAATCACAGTTACTTGAGGGAAAAATCCATAATACCCTCTCTGGTATCAGCAAACCACACCAGGAACATGGGGTGCCATCCCCACAGATGCCACCAAGCTGGGGAGTGGGGGATAGGAAGTGAGTAAGTTAAAACACCACAGTACTCTCTTACCAAAATAGAGCAGTTTCTTTCCTCATTAAGCATTCCCCCGACTGTGGTAAATTTTTAAGTTAGTTTTCAGAGCTCTGATAAAGTTGATTCTGACAGTTTTTGCCGGCTTAATTGTTGCTTTAGTGAAGGGACATAGATTTGGAGTTCTCTACTTTGCCATTTTCGGCAATGTCAGTCTTATATGTGTATAATTTTAAAAATCATTTTTGGGGCACCTGGGTGGCTCAGTTGGTTGGGCATCCAACTCTTGATTTCAACTTGGGTCATGATCTCAGGGTCATGGGATCAGGCCCCACGTAGGGCTCTGTGCACAGCAGGGGGTCTGCTTGAAGATTCTCTCCCTCTCCTTCTGCCCCTCCTGCTTACACACACGCTCTCTCTCTCTCAAATAAATGGATGAATCTTTTAAAAAATCACCCTTACAATTTTCTGTGAATTGTGTATTCACTTACTTTGTTCATATTTTGCTGGGTTATTAACTTTTCCTAATTCATTTACAGTTTTTTACATAGTAGGGAAATGAACCACTTGTCTGTGATGGGAGTTTCATATACATATTTCCCAGTTTGTCATTTGTCATTTGTTTTTGTAATGGTTTTGCCACTCAGGTTTTTTCATTTTTCTTTTGTGTAGTTAAATTTATCAGTCTTTTTCTACTGTGACTTCTGGACTTTGGAATCCTAATTATCAAAGTCTTTCCCTACTCTAAAACTATAAAATGATTCATCCCTATTTTCTACTGGAATGTTTATGGCTTAATTTTCTCACATTTAAATTCTTGATCCATTTTGGATTTATCTTAACTTAGTAAGTTGTGATTTATAGATCTAACCTTTTTCCCCCAAGATGTTCATGTTTTGAAGAAGAGATATTCTTAAGTTTAGCAAGTGTTTATTAGTATCAGGTAGCTTCTGTGAAAATATGAGTAGTTAAATTACTGGCATTGCTCTTATTTTAGGATGACCCGGTTTTTAATCCTAGCCCTTGTCACTTAATCACTATATGAACATGGGCAACCCATTCACCCAGTGGGAATTTTCTGTTTTCCAATCTGTAAACAGTGATAATAGTTTCTGCCCAGGCTATCACAGGGGATTATTACAAAATTAGCCCCGACAGTGTCTATGCCAGGGACTGTGGATGCATACAATGCTAACCACAATGTAAGGCAGTAGTAATTATAAGAATAAAATCATAGCAGCACTTTATATTTGAATGGTGCTCATTCCCATCTAAATACAACATTGAGACAACCCAGTGCAGTGTCTGGCACATAGTAGGTACCTGATTAGTACTTGCATATTTTTTGAATCTCTATTGAATCTTTACTATTTGCCAAGAACTACAATTTATTTCACTGAGCAAAACAGTCCAAACTCATGAACTCATGAAATTTATGTTCTGTTGGGATAGAGAAGTACAATAATCAAAATAAGTAAAATGTATAGTATGTTAGCTAATGAGCAGTGCTAAGGAGAAAAATAGTCAGGGACAGGGAAAGAGTATTGAGGGTTGAGAGATGCAATTCCAAATAGGACAGTCAGAGAAAGCCACTCTGAGAAAGTGACATTTGCACAAAGACATAAAGGAGGTGGGAAGGAAAGTGAGTTGTGTGGCTGCCTGGGGGAAGAGCCAGGCAGGCAGAGGGAACAGCAAGAGCAAAGGCCCTGAGGTTAGAGGAAAAGCAGAGGTTAGAGCAGCTGAGCACAATAAACAAAGGTGAGAGTATTGGAGAGTAAGAGAGGGCAAGGGGCTGAGGAGGGAGGCCAGATCGTGTACAGCCTGGAAGGGCAGCATAGGGAGTTAGGCTTTTATTCTGTGAAAGATGGAACACCACTGGAGGGTTTCAAAGAGAATAGTGACATGACGTGACTTGGGTTCTAACAGGAGCCAGGATCCCTCAGTCTGCTGTGTGCAGAATAGATTGAAGAGGGGCCAGGGAAGAAAGCAGAGTGCGATTAGAAGGCCCTTGCAGGCATCCAAGCAAGAAATGATGGTGGCTTGGGCCATGTCAGTAGGAGTGGGGGAGCAGGAAAGTGGATGGATTCTAGATCATTCTTGAATGTAGAGCAGACAGGCTTCCTGGTAACTTGGATGGGATGTGGGGTGCCAGAGAAAGAAAGGGGTTCAGGATGCTCCAAAGTTTTTGTTGGATGGATAAAGGAGTCACCAGTTTTGTACCTGAGGAAACTGAGGCACACAGAGGCGAGGGGCCCCATCCAAGGCCTGAGCACTGGCCCACTGAGCACTGGCCCACTTGTTCCTCATTGCAGAGGAAAGTCTGGAGAGGTGCGCAGCCCTACCAGGTGGGCGGCCTCGCCCTCCGACTGCCCGCTGGTGCTGCGGAAGCTCATTTGCAAGGAAGACATCCGGGCTGGCTGCAGGTGCATGGTGAAGGCACCCTTGGTAACCGATGTGGAGCTGGAACGCTTCCTGTCTGCACCCCGAGACCCCAGCCAGGTACTGGTGTTTGGGATAGTCTCAAGCCAGAACCCCACCAGCACCGCACAGCTCCAGTGGCTGCTCGACACACTCCACAGTCACCGGCAGCAGGGCCGCGCCTCGCCCTGCATCCAGGTTGGTCCAGTGCCCAGCTTGGGAGGCCCCAAGGAAAGACCACCCCCCCCCCAGGGGCGCTAGGACTGACTGAGCATCTGGCTGAGAGGCTGCCCTTCGGCCTCAGCACATGGGCCCCCTTTCACTTCCTTTACCTCCTGGGGCCTTTGCGCACACTCTTCAAAACACCATCTGCCATGTTTTGCCTCTCTTCTCTCTCTCTGACTCATCCTCCTGTCCGGAGACGAATGTCACCACATCAAAGTGGGTGCTTTTTCTGAGCTTGAGATCTTTTCTGCCATTTTCATCCAGAGCACTCCCCATAGCGTGTGGTTATGTATTGGTGTGAGTACTTGGAGCAGAGATTGACTCCCCAGTGGATACTCAGGACTCAAGAATGTTCATAGACTCTGGCTGAGTACCTACTGTGTGCTGGCCCCATGCCAGGACCCGAGGGGCTCCCAGCATGGCGGGGCAACAGCTATAGCAGCCCTGAGCAGGGCCATGAAAGGCCAGCTCCGGGGGGTTCAGGAGCTGGGAGCAGGGCCTGCCACCTCCAGAGAGTCAGAGAGAGTCTCCCAGGATGAGAGGGTTTGGGCAGGCGGGTGAGTGTTCCCGTCAGAGGCAGCAGCCTGTGCAAATGTGGTCAGGGAAAGGGGCGCTTGAGGTCCCTGTTCATTGTGGTTGAAGTCTCAAGGATCTGTCAGGGGCACATAGAACACCCCCTGGTCCTGTCCTGCCTTCAGGGTCGTTCCTGAGTCTCATCATCCTCCCTCAGTAACCTTCCCTGGCAGGGTTAGCACAGTTCAGGGGGGACCCCATCCCCACTCCAACTGGAGCAGAGGATGCCATATGAGCACATCAGCTTTGTGTCTACCTGGTGACTTCTTTCAAATCCTCTTGGCCCTATGCCCTCTCTGTTCCACTATCTGCCCCTTCTCCCTTTACTGCAGTCCCGACTTCCAAGTTTTTGTATCTGCCCTGGGGATACCCTCTCCAGCTCTCCTCCCAGGAGCGTGGCCTCCCTGACCCCATGTGCCCACCCTTGTGCCTGCGCTCCAGCCAGTGCCGGGAGCTTGGCAGTGGAACCCTTCTCATCAGACACCAAAAGACTTTTTACTAGTCTTGTACATCCAAGCTGTGTATTCTAGAGTCATCCCCAATTTACACAGACTTAGTGAACACTTATTGAGTCCTGCCCTGTGCTCATCGGTGTATAGACATAGGATCCCTGCCCACATGGGAACTTAGAGGTGACTTTAGTTTACCTCAAGGCTATTAATTTTTCATTAATAGTTAATTTTTCAATAATATTTTCATTAATAGTTAATTAAGTTTTCATTAAGATGCATGGCAGTCCAGCCCAGCTGTGAGTAGCATGAATGGGGACAGGACCTGACCTTGAATCTGAGGTAGGAGTGGGCAGTGGGATTTGAGGAGTGTGGAGGACAGATCTGGAGGGAGGTGTCAGGTTTCACAGTAACTCTGGTTTCACCATCCCAGTGGGTGTGATTAAGGCAGAAATGTTCCTTAATATTGTCTTGCTCCAAAAGCTAGAACTCCAGATACAGTTCTGGATTTCACATTTTAAATAGAAACATCATGCAGGACAGCTGGAGGCACCTGGAATAAAAGGCAGATAAAACCAGAAAACATTATACATTCGCTATTTTAATGGATTTGTAGCATCCAGAAAGAAGAAAGGGAAAGAGACCACCTTTACTCTGGATTGACCAGGCCCCACCTTGAGATGTAGGTTTGATTCAGGTCCCAGCACTGGATCTAATGACAGGGAGGTATCCAGAGGACAGCCAGCAGTGGTAGAGGGTGGAGGAATCCTGAAAATGGGTACACCCATGAATATGGTATACCTTCACATCTCCAACATGGCTTCTTCCAGGCAGAGGGAACAGTCAAGTCCTGCAGACCCTAGAGGGTGGAGCTAGTGGCTGTCACGTGGTGGGGGGCAGTCATCTCCATGACAACCTGCACCAGCAGAAGGCCCTAGATGGACCTAGATGATCATGGCAATGGTCATGGGAGGTGTGCATGCGGGGGCTGAACAGCCTGTTGAGCAGGAGTTGGGAGGCCGTGTTGAATGGGGCTCTAGGACTCCACGGAACCTGGTCAGCCTGAGAATGCAGGAATCTGAGTGCATCCTCTTGGCATAGGATTGATGGGCACTTACTTCTGTCTTGGCAGTGCCGGCATGACCCATACCGCCTGCTGCGGTATGACCTGGACAGCTCTCTGCAGAAGGACCCACCCCTGCTGGTGAAGAAGTATGCTGTGGTGCCAGGGATGGTTCTGGTGAGCTGGGGCCAAGGGGGGGACTCACTGCCAATTGCCTGCCAACAGCCCCTATCTCCCACAGCTCCTACCTTTGTGGAATCACAGATGTGGGAGGGAGAAAGAGGGAGGGTCTGTGAGATCTGAGGCCCAGAGAGCAGAAGGCCTGACTGAGAGTCACCCAGCTTATAGAGTCAGGGCTGGAGTCCAGTCTCCCATTCCCAGCCTGACCCCATCCATCCCTCATCCTGGAAGACTCAAGGGAGCAGGGCACACCTAAGCTAGAGAACAAAATTCTCTTCATCTTGTTGTTTTGCTTTGTTTTGTTTTAGAGATTGACTGATTGATTGATCGATTGATTATATAGAGAGAAAGAGTGTGAGTGGGAGAGGGGCAGAGGGAGAGGGAGAGAGAGAATCCTCAAGCAGACTCCCCACTGAGTGTGGAGCCCCATGCAGGGCTTGATCCCAGGACCCTGAGATCATGACCTGAGCTGAAATTAAGAGTTGGACATTTAACTTACTGAGCCACCCAGGCACCCCCCTCTTCATCTGTTTCTAAGTAACTTTTTACTAAAAACAGGGCATTGTAAAAAAATATATATTCATTGTAGAAAGTTTAGAATATACAATTTAGAGGGGTGCCTGGGTGGCTCAGTTGGTTAAGCATCTGCCTTCGGCTCAGGTTGTGATCTCAGGGCCCTGGGATCAAGCCCCGCATCGGACTCCTGGCTCAGCAGGGAGCCTGCTTCTCCCTCTGCCTGCCACTTCCCCTCCTTCTCTCTCTCTCTCTCTCTGTGTGTGTGTGTCAAATAAATAAATAAATAAATAAAATCTTTAAAAAAAAAAGAATGTACAATTTAGAAAATAATGACTTCCCCATATTCCCCAGATTGCCTCATTTGTTCATGCAGCATGTACTGGGCAGCTGCTAGATTCGGCACAGTTGGAAGCTCTGGGGCATACCCCTGCTAACATTTTGGCCTCTGGCTTTTTCAGTCTTTTTTCTGACTTTGGGGGTCGTGCTTTTTTAAATTGTTATTTTAACCACTGCATAAGAATCTGACATTTGATTTCTCTACCTGTGAGCCTTTTGTTGGACATTTAGGTTATTTCCATGTTGGCTGGGCGGGGGTAGAGAGGACATACCAAATAACACTCTAATGGATATCCTTGCACAAAAATCTTTGGACATGTGTCTACTTGCTGGAGACTGACATTAGAGGGTGGGGGTTCAGAGAGCAGTAGGACAAGATCTCTGCCCTCCAGAGGCTCCCATCCCATGGGACCAGCTTATCAGTGCGTAGGGATAAGTGGGCCAGTCAGCTGTAGGTGGGTGTGGGGGGGCCCTCTGAGCAGGAAGAAACCCTTCTGGCCCCAGAGCTCTGGCGCACTTGTGTGTGAAGTGGCGTCTGAGCAGGTGGGCCAGCAGGGGGCAAAGGTTGGGATGGTGGGGCTGCCATCTGACTTGGGAGGACTCGATGGGGAACAGGCTTGGCCACACTTCCCTGGGTGGCTTGGGGAGGGCAGCATCCTTCCCCCCACTGCTGAAACCATCAGAGAAAGGCCTGGCTTCCAGCACAAGCTCGGAGAGCCCATGGCACTGGCCTGAGATTCAGTGCTGGTATTCTGAGGGCCTCTCCTGCCATGTCCTTCCTGTGTGTCTACAGATGTTCGCAGGGGGGAAGCTCCTTTTTGGTGGCTGCATTTTGAATGGATATGGCTTTAGCAGGCAGAATCTGCTGAAACAGATCTTCCAGGCTCGACAAGACTGCAAGATGGGCTACTTCCTGCCAGACAACTACAAATTTAGGTAAAACAGGAAAAACTCGGGATGCAGGGGCAGGCATGGGGTGGAAGGAGACCTTGCTCTGGAAGGGACACTGGTGGGGAAGGAAGCTGGCAGCAAGCAGACTTCACAGGTGGCAAGGGGGAATGAGGCCATATTGTTGGTTTCTCTGGGACACAAGTTGGGGGAAAGGTCCCTGTTGGAGAAAGGGGGACATGGGATGGTTTGCACAGTGCTGGTTTCTGAGGCGGGGAGGATCATGAAGACAGGTTTGGGTAGGGGTCCTAGGGACACCTCCACCTTTTTCCCCATCACACCCCACCCCATCCTGTGTGTAATTCCAGTCCTGCTTCTCTGTTTACCAGCAGGGCCACGTAGACAAACCAAGGGTTCCTCAGGAAGTGAGCTCAGGCCCTTGTGAAGGGAAGTGGGGTGGTGCTGGCTTAAGGCTGCCTCTTGGCCACTGAGTGCAGGTTTTTCAACCAGGTGACGCCCATCCATTGAGTGCCTCCCAGGCCCAGCTTGGGTGAGATGAACAAAGGTTGGTCTCTTGGCTCAAGAAGCATGCAGCCTGGTCCAGGGAAGGAGCCCACAGTTTATGACATTGCTGGAGGCTATGTTAGGAGTGGATTCTGGAATGCCTGGGCTGTACAGTGCAGTGTAAACCTTACTGGGTCAGGGGTCCCAAGACGAGGCTGGAGCCCCAACTCTGCTCTTTATAAGCCAGGGGATCATTTGCCTCCCTAATCCTCATTGTCTTCACCTTTAAAGTGAGGATGGTAAATCCCACCTCTTATGAAAGTGTGTTTGCCGAAGTGCCGTATAAACCACAATGAGGAGGCACACGTACAAAGCATTGCCTGCCTGCACACAGGGGCTCCCTCTGCCTGTACCCCCAGCACGCTGAGTCCAGACAGCAACCCCAGCCCACTCCCACCAGGCCCCTCAGCTTTCTAGGAGTCCTGATGCCAATTTCTCCCCAGTGCACTGAGTTTGAGTTGTGCCAGAATGTCTGCCTGACCCTAAACAGGTTCCTCTAGAAGGAACCATAGAGGTCACACCCTGACCCCAGCATCCTGGACCGCTTAGTAGGGAAGGCAGGAGCCCCAGGAGCCCAGGGACATCAGGAAGGGCAGATGCTGCCAGGTGCAGAGAAGAAAGTCATTGATACCCCACCGCCAGAGACTCAAGGAGGGCTTGGGGGTCCTTCAAGACCAGCTAGCTCATTGACAGTCCCAGGGAAAAAGGGAAATGGAGGCTCTGGGTCTGCTCAGGTTCAAGAAAGAACTATACCAAAAACAGAGGGGATGGGGAGGATGCCATCCAGAAGGCCCAAACTGAAGATAAGTGGAGGCCACTGGCAGATGCCAAAAACAGCAAGCAGAGGCATTTTCAGAGACATTTAATAGATGGGGTGCTTGTGGGTGTGGTAGATGGGGAGTGAGAGAGGCCAAAACTAGTTACAAGGAGATGTAGCTCTTTATTTGGCTGCCACTGTCCTTACAAGGACCGTTTACCCTCTCTGCCTCAGCTGCTTTGTCTGTAAAGCAAGAATGAGCAGAGTTTTCACTGCCCCGGGTTGTGCAGATTAGATGAGTCAGGTAGGTGAGAAATTCTAGCACATCACTAACATTTATTGAGAGGTTATAAGTTACAGTTGTTAGTGCTGTTATTATTGCTAAAATGAATTCTAGGCTCCTAATTTGTTACATACAAGGGTTCTGAAAGGACTTCAAGCTTACAACAGGTTTCGGTAAGTTTTTGAAGAATGGTGGGGAGAGAATCAGCAAACTACCCACACACAAACACAGACACACACACAGATGCACACACAGACATGCACACAGACACACTGAGACACACAAACACGTAGATGCACACACAGACAAAAACACACGCAGACACACACATGCATGCACAGTCCAGGTTTTCGGGAAAGTGGAAGGGAGAGGATTCCTGAGATTATAAACCAGTAGGACTCCTCTTAATTTTAGAATGGCCTATTAGGTTGGCAGTTTGAAAGCACTTAGAGAAAAAAAGGAATGGAATTTGACAAGAAAATGTTGCCATAACAACAGCTCTTTTATCTACATCTGTGAAAGGAACCACCTCAAGCTCAGTGATGTAAAACCACACAGCCATTTCCTATTATTGTCTCTGAGGGTCTGGGGGCTGATGGGGCTCAGCTAGGTAGTGCTTGCTTGGGGTCTCATGTGGTCATGTCAGAAGATGACAGTGGACAGAGTCATCTCAAAGGCTTGCTCATTTCCATGCCTGGCCGTCCATGCAGACTTTCAGCCAGAACACTTACCACCTGGCTTTTCCATGTGGCCTGGGCTTCCTCAGACATGGTGGGTGGCTCAGTTCCAAAGCGAGTGTCCTGAGATGCAGCCAGGTGGGGCCTGTTTTGCCTCCTAAGTCAGGTAACGTCACTTTGCACTGCACATGAGTCCCTAGGGCCAGCCCATACTCAAAGGAGGGGAATGAGACCACACCTCTCGATGGGAGGAGTGTCAAAGATTTTTTGGACATGCTCTACAGCCAGCCACTGGTCCGATTCCTCTTCCAGCAGGGTAACTAGAATAGGAGTGAGACATGCTGTCGGCCTAGAATAACTTCAAGGAAGACACTGGGTGAGATCTCTTGATGTCCTTATGAGCAAGATGGATAGATGCTTGTTTGGCCAAGTGATCACCAGCAAGTGGTGATCAGCCTGAAGGGCAGACCTCTGTGTTTGGCCTGTCCACTTTTCCCCTAAATATGTAACTTGGATGTGTTCGTGGAAGGCTGACCGATCAGTTATGCCCTAGATGGGGAAGGATGACAGAATGGAGGTTCGCAGGAGGCTCAACTGCCAAGCAGTGGTTTGGAAGGTTTATGGTCAGTGGATATGGAACATGCCAGCATGACAGAGTGCCATGCTGAAAAACGTCCTAGAAGTCAGCGCTATCGGTGTAGCCCAAGGGAGATGCTCTTCCTGGAGTTCTAGTGTTCTCATTTCTGGGTCCTCTGTTACAAGAGGGGGCTGGCAGACAGCCTCACATTCAGAGCTAGTGGGGGGGCCCCCACTGTCCCTGGGTTGGAATCATTTCTTCCTTGCCAGAGTTAGACTTCCGATCTGCTTGGTTTTGTACAGCTCTACTGGGAGGATTCGAGGCAGGGAGGTGAGAGGGAGAGGAGACAGGTCTGCAGAGTAAATGCAGGGAGGTGGGCAGAGCTGGAGGACAGCTCCAGAAGACCTGTGCTGCTCACAGGGCACTCAGAGGAGCCAGCCACAGAGACAGCTGTGGGTTGGGAAGGGCTGCAGGTCTCTCTGTACCTGTTAAGCCGGGTGTCCTGCATCACACGGCCCACCTCCCTTCTCTTTGTGTCCTTTGCTCAGCCCCAGGGCCCGGCACATAGAACCCCCTGGGGACATGTTCACTGAATGATGATCTAGAGCTGATTTTATCCCCGGGAGGCAGAGGCCAGGTCAGACTGAGGAAGGGCTGGTTGACAGAGGGTCTACTGATAACCAGCTGCCATGGTTCTCTGGCCACCCCTCATATACCTTCTGTGAGGGAGGCTCCTCTCCCCGGAAGCAGCCCCCACTTTTAACCCAAAAGTCATGCCCCTCCTACTGCCTGCCGTGGCTCGTGCTCCACACTGGGGATTTGGAAGTGAACATGATCTCTACCTGCTTTACCTTCGCCAATCCAAAGGCGCAGAAATCGATAAGAAAACTAGTAAAGGGCACTAATCATTAGAGGAATGCAAGTCAAAACCACCGTGTAATACCACCTCATACCCATTAGGATGGCTACTATCAAAAAACCAAAAACAGCACGTTTTGGCGAGGGTGTGGAGACACTGGAACGCGCGTGCGCTGCGGGCGGGGATGTGACACAGCGCGGCCGCTGTGGAAAACAGTTACAGAGTTATGATTCAACAATTTTACTTGTGAGTAGCTACCTAAAAGAGTTGAAAGTGGGGTTTTGAAGAGATATTTGTACACCTGTGTTCACAGCAGCATTATTCATAATATCCAAGAAGAGGACGCAACCCAAGTGTCCATCAGTGGATAAATGGATAAAAAAAAAATGTGTTCTGTGCCTACAGTGGAATATTGCTCAGCCTTAAAAAGGAAGGAAATCCTATCACAAGCTACAACATGGACACACCTCAAGGACATTATGCTTAGTGAAATGAGCCAGTCACAAGAGGACAAACACCGCATGATTGCACTTACATGAGGACCATAGAGGAGTCAAATGCACAGAGACAGATAGGGTGGTGGCTGTCAGGGGCTGGGGAAGGAACAATGGGGAGCTGGTGTTTAATATATATATTTAATATATATGTTATTTATATATATATAATAATATATAGAGTTTCAGTTTGGGAAGATGAAAAAGTCTGGAGGTAGGTAGTGGTGATGGTTCTACAACAATATGAATGTACTTAATGCCACTAAAGTATGCGCTGGAAAATAGATAAATGTTATGTTATGTACTTTTAACCACAACTTAAAAGTGGGGGGTTAGGGAAGATGCTCTGTGGGTGCTTGCAGCTGAGGGAGGGGGAAGGAAAGGGGCTGTTTCCCCCTGTTAGCAAGCTCCCAGGGCAAGGGCTGATTTGGTCTCCAAAGCCCACCCTCCCCGCTCTGGTAACACCGGTCCCATTCTCCATCCACCCAGGGCCAGGCAGAGGAGACGGTTTCCCCAGTGGCCAGTACGTTTCATTTGTCAACACAGCACCAGGCCTGGTGGAGGGCCTCACCTGGGGACACTGCTGATGCTCCCCACATCCTGGTCACCCTGACTCTCTCATCTTGTAACCTGCTATTGGCAGGTCTCACCTAGGGGTCCTTTTCCAGTGCTGCTGGGCTCCCATTTCTCCATTTATCTGTGCTTTGAGTCCCTAGGAAGTGCTGAGCTGTGACCCGTCCGGGGCTGGGGGCAGGAGTAGGAGTCCTTCGCACCACCATGGTGCTCAGGAAGTCTCAAGAGACCCACTCCCAGAATCTACTTTCCTACCACCTTTGTCCAAACGGGACCAAAGGGGACAGGGGAGACAGCTCAGTCCATACCTCCATTTTTAATTTTTCTAGCGTTTTCAAAATGATGGAAGATGCCCTCCTCTCCCCTCCCCCCTGCTTGTCTCTTGTCCCTAAAATGCCTTGCCCTCAAGCAAGTGGCATAGCAGGGGCTCAGTAAATACGAAGAAACAATGAAACAACAGGGCCTGTCCTGTCTCTGTATTCGTTAGTTTCTTAAGACTCCTGTAACAGTGGTCTACAAACTGAGTAGCTTAAACTGAAATGTATTATGTCATGGTTCTGGAGGCCAGAGACAGAGGTGTTGGCAGGGAAGTGCTAGGGTGCTAGGGAAGGCCTTGCTCCAGGCCAGTCTCCTGGCTTCTGGTAGTTCCTTGGCTTGTGGCAGCATTATTACTCCAGGCTTCACGTGGTGTTCTCCCATCTGTTTATCTGTGTCCACATTACCCCCTTTTTTGAATAAGGACACCAGGTATGTTGAATTAGAGGTCCACCCTACTCTGGTATAACTTCCTCTTGACTCATTACATCTGCAATAACCCTATTTCCAAATAAAGTCACATTCTAGGGTACTGGGGGTTAGGACTCCACCAATCTTTGAGTTTGGGGAGGGGGACACAAGCAGCCCATAAGATTCTACATAATGGCTTATTTCCTTGGCCTCCTGTGCTCTCTTCTTTGCTCACTTTAGGGAGCCCTCCTGCCCCACCAGTGGTCAGTGCTGGGTGCACAGGTGTCATTGACATAGAGTCAGGGTGATTCCAACCTTAAATAGAGGCCAGAAAAAACAAGCTCCAGGAAGTCTCTGGGTCCCCAGAGGTCAGGCTCTCCCTTTACCCACCCTAGGGAGGAGAAACCCTGCACTCTTTTCTCTGTTGGAGCTGGAATGCTAAACGTCAGCACCAAGCAGGGGCTACTTACTCGGGGCCCCCTCTGGCTGTGCCTCTGCTGAGCCTTGCCCTCCCTTCCCTGCCTCCCCTGCAGCATTCCAACCTATATCCCAGTCCTGGAAGACCCCAACTCAGCCAAGAAAGCAATATCGGCAGACATCCAAGAAAGCTTCTCCTCGTTGGCCATGGGGGACAAGATGGAGGAGTCCCCTCCTGAAACTGAGAAGTAGGTGGCCACCCCAGCCCCAGGGCTGAGGGGGCTTCCTGTGATCAACAGAATGGGCATGGCTCACAGCAGGGCCCCTGGCTTTGCCACAGGCCACAGAGCTCATGTGGGGCTAAGTGGCTTTGGGCAAGTCACTCCCCACCCCCCACCCCCCACCCCCCGCCCTGGGCGTGGGTCATCTCCAACCATCCTTGATATCTGGCCCATTTAATCAACACTGTGTCTAGCTGGGCAGCAAGCCTGCTCCCTGGAGCTGCAGGCAGTGGTCTGGGTGGTGGAGATTGAGACCTTTTGTAGACTCTGCAGTGAAACCCTACAACCCAGACCCTCAGTCTGAGAAGGGTGGAGACTGCCTGCCGTCTCCCTGCAAGAAACCTTCGAGACCTGCCAAAAGTCCACTAACTTGGCCATGTTAACTGAAGCGAATTACGTATTCTGCAAGAGCGTAAAAATCACACAATTCTTCTGAAGATAGAAAAGCAAAATTGTGAGCACCTAGAAAGGTCACAGGTGCCTCTGGGTCCCCCAGGTTGGAGCAACACCAAGAGGGCTTCAGCTGTGCATGGCGGAGGGCCAGGCGCACTTCTGCTCAGGCCAGGGCAGGGCTCTGAGCACTGTCCACACCAGTTCTCTCCACCCATTTCCCAGCATTTGCTTCTCTCTATTTTGATTTTTAGAGTGAAACCGCCTGAAGTGGATCTGCCTGTTCTCAGCAAAGCCAGGAGCGGCAGTAAGAAGGCGGTCCCCTGGAAAAAACAGGCCTTCAAGAGATGATGCTGCCCCTACGGCTACCCAGAGCTCCAAGCCTGGACACAGCTCCTCTCACATCCACCCCAGCCCTGCCCCCCAAGCCTCCCACCCCCTTTCTCTGAGCCTCTGCATAATAAATAAGCATGCCTCCAGCATCTGGGTGAGGCCATGGGATAGGCTGGCTCCTACCAGGCCGCCCACAGCCCTGTTCTAGGCTGAGTCTGTGGAAACTTGGTTCCTCTGACCCAGAGCTTCCTCTGTGACCAGTTAAATCAGCCAGAAAATCCCACATTCCCAAGGAAACAGATGTCCCACTCCAAGGGGGCCAAGCCAAAGGGTATATTAACCCTGGGGAGGTCGTGGATGAGACTAAATTGTGCCCTCCTACCCTTAACAGGGTGGAAAAGGGCTCTGCTTCTGGCCCAGAAGGGTAAGAGGGGATGAGAGCGAAGAGGGAGGAGACAGGGAAGGAGAGGAGGAACAGATGGAAGACAAGACGGAGGGAGAGCTGCAGAGCCCCTAAGAAGTGGGCAGGGGGAGGACTGAGGGAGGAGGAGACTAGGGAAGAGGGAGAACAAGGGAAAGGGTTCCAGAATGGGATGGAAAAGATGGTTGACAGGCCACGCCCAGGGGCCCTTTGGTGGCCCCCAGTGTGTTCATGTCCCCATGTGGCCCAGCCTCAGTACTCTTTGGTGGATTAGACACCCCGTCCTGAGCTGACAGGCCTGAAGAGTCCTTCCCAGCGTCAGGGACCCAGAGATGGCAGCCCCCTCTCCACCTCTCATGTGCTGACTACCCCCCTGGTGGTAGTCACCAGCTCTGGGTCTGTCTGTATGAGGCTCCTGAAAGCCACTTCCCAGAGCAGGGCCTGGACCCCAGAGGGTCTGCCTGGTTCTCCAAACTTGGAAAAGACTTCAGGCCCTGATCTGTGGGCAGTGTTTGGTGATGCGCTCTACACTTGACTACTTCTGCCCCTTTGGAATAGATGCTTTTTCAATTTGAATTTTTTGAGGTTTAATTTTTATCCTTTGTATCATTCAAAGGCTTGTTTTGAATTATACATTTATTCCCTCTGGAAATGGATTTGAAATGGCATGCTATGTTCTTAAGCCTGCATCTCTTGATACGTAAGGGCTTGATATTTGCTAGGGGTCCTGGGCATCTAAATACTCTTCCGCCCACACCGCCCCTCTGAGCACAAGGGCATACAAGGATTAGAAGGCAAGGGGAAGCAAGTTCCACCTTTGTCCTGGCACGCAGGCACCCTCCAGCCCCTCAGGCAGGACTCTGGTAAAGACTAGAATGGAGACACTGGCTCTCCTACCTTCTTCCCTGAATCGAACCCTTGGGCCTGCATGTTAAGTCGTGTACTTCAGAAGCTGCATGCACAGGGACCACAGAACTGTCTCTAAAGGGCAGGCACCAGCCCAATTCAGGGTGCTTGCCACACTGAAAATGGGCCAAAAATGAGCAGACTTGAGCAGGGACGTCTCTCACTGGTGAAATGGGGCCCAGTGAATGTCCAGTGCTACATAATCAAATTGTCCCTTGAGGAGGAGGGAGAAAAGAAGGAGCCTCTTTGTCCACAGAAACATCAGGAGAGGGGGATAAGGCTTCAACCCCCGACAATGCCCCCAACAAACCAGGTATTATGGGAAGATGTGAAATTATCTGAAAGAGTCATAAACTCTTGTCCGACTACAGCAGCTAGACTTTTCTTTCAAGCTCCCTCCTGTCATCTGCCTTGGATTAGGGAGGTCCAAGTCTTTCTAAAGCAAAAAGGTGTAGCAGGACTCAAGGGGACACTCCGGAGTTGGCAAACACGTGACATACGTGCTATTGCTTCTCCCCCCAGGTCCTTGCAGACATCATTAATCAATCACAACACTTGGAACTCAAGTGATGCTTCAGAAACATCTTTAGCACAAAGGTCCAAACTGCCAATTAACTACCAATCTTTGCCATCCATGGAGTAGTCCTCTCCTCTACCTGGGCCTCAGTTTTTAGAAAGACTTCTTGGGGGAAGTGAGGGTAGACTTAGATCCAGAGCCTAGAGGATAGGTTTTGTTAGGAGGCATTGCTGTGTGCTATCTGTGCCAGCAGGAAAGTAAGGAGTGACCCAATTACTCACCACCTAGATACTCAATCAGGGGGACATTTAATGGTCAGTAGCCCCAAGGTCTATAAGAAATGGGAACGGGATGCTCTTATCACTGAGCACTCTTTCCCCAATTCTTGTTCAAGTTGACCCAGTAGAGGGCCCAGGAAAGGGGAAGACTATCATGAATAGACTCAAAGAAAATTAAAACTGGAAGGAAAACCAGGGATTAGGGCATCTAATCTCTCACTTTATAAAGAGGGAGACTGAGGCCCTGAGAAAGGAAGGGACTGCAGGAGGCCATACAATCCGCATATGGTTGCATTAGGCAAAGTCCCTGGTACTGAATCCCTTCTTTCTCCTCCACCCAGGGCCAGAGGAAGAGGGAACCAGGCAAGACAAAGATCAGACTTCCATTTCCAACAATAGCATGGATTAAATGGCCTGAAAAAAAAAATCACATTGCAAAACACATAGAAATGTTGAATAACCTAAATCAAATATCTGTTTTAATGCATACTGGTGCTCACAAGTTAGTAAGGAAAATCTATAGGGTGCTGAAAAGAGGACTCAGGAAACCAAGTATTAAGCAAGCACTAAAACCACAGCTGTGCTGAGGCTGTTTTGTTAATCTCAATGACCCAGAACCTGGGCTTTAATGGTTGTAGAGAGACATGAGAAAAAACCTTGGGCCTGAACAAGACACCAGACTTTAAATAAGACTCCTAAATATAAATCTGGGACCCCTGATACACACAAAATGACAAGGGAATTTGAATGTCTTAGCCTTAGAGAAAAAGTGTTTTGGACCTAAATGTGAATGTATAACCCAGGTCTGCCTTCAGAGAGATTTGGGTTTAAATGTATATACATGCTGTCTATGAGGTCTGGGAACCCCTCAGAATGCTTGGTGGAAGCAAACAAATCCTCTCTGATGATGATCACTCTCAACCTCAACTTCACAGGATTCCCACAGAGATAATCCAATTGAGCCTGAGCTCACAATCCAAATTTAAAAGTGTAGGCCAAAGCAAATGAAAATATCGAACATTGAATTAGACATCCAAGATTTTGGATATTGGACTTCCTAGACAATATAAAATGAATATTTTCTTAATGTTTAAATATGCAAAAGAAGGAACTGAAAACATAAGCAAAGAACAAAATATAACTAAACAAAAAAGAGATGGCCTGAATTTTGCTTCCAGACATGTTGGAGTAACTGGTACTGGAGTGGGTCTCTTGAAAAATAATAAGGCAAGAGAAACAAAGTTCTACAAATCCCCAGGTTTCTCTCAGAGATACTTTCTGGATCATGGTGCAGGGAAGGAGAATTCAAGCAGAATATGACAGTATTGCTGAACTGAGGAGAGAGATCAGAATTTGGGGAGACAGTGGTGATTGGAATTTGTGGAGCAGGGTATCAGAGAAGAGGGAGTTATGCAGAGAGAACCCTCGAAATCTGCCTAGGGGTCTCCTTGAGTCTTCAGCTGAATGCTAAATTGCACATGTTTAGGGCATGGCTTCATGAGACCAGGTAAAGAAATACAGGGGAGCTGTGAACTGACAGTTCACGGATGGTTGAGAGACGTTCAAGTTCCAACCAGTCAGAAGTAGACACATGGGCCAGTAACTTCTGTGACATCAGCAGCCATAGCAACTTCTTTCTAGATATGTCTCTTGAGGCAAGGGAATCAAAAGCAAAAACAAACTATTAGGACTACATCAAAATAAAAAGCTTCTGCACAGCAAAGGAAACAATCAACAAAATTAAAAGGCAACCTACAGAATGGGAGAAAATATTTGCAAAGGACATATCGGATAAAAGGTCAGTATCCAAAATATATAAAGAACTTATAAAACTCAACACCCAAAAAACAATCTAGTCCTAAATGGGCAGAAGACATGAACAGACATCTCTCCAAAGAAGACAGTCGGCCAACAGACACATGAAAAGATGTTCATTGTCCCTTACCATCAGGGAAATGCAAATCAAAACCACAGGGAGGTATCTCCTCACACCTGTCAGAATGGCTAAAATCAACAACACAAGCAACAACAGGTGTTGTCAAGGATGTGGAGAAAAAGGAACCCTCTTGCAATGCTGGTAGGAATGCAAACTTGTGCAGTCACTGTGGAAAACAGTATGGAGGTTCCTCAAAAAGTTAAAAATAGAACTACCTTATGATCCAGCAATTCCGCTACTGAGTATTTACCCAAAGAATACAAAAACACTAGGAGGCGGAGCAAGATGGCGGAGGAGTAGGAGACCTGGATTTCGTCTGGTCTCAGGAATTCAGCTGAATGGGGATCAAACCATTCTGAACACCTACGAACTCAACAGGAGATCGAAGAAGAGAGTAGCAACAACTCTCTGAACAGAGAAGCGACCACTTTCTGGAAGGTAGGACGTGCGGAGAAGTGAATCCGAGCCGATATTTGGGAGGATAGACGGCGGGGGAGGGGGCCTCCGTCGGCCGCTTCTGGCAAGTGATAGAGCCGCGGAGCACAAAATCGGAACGTTTAGAAGTCGGCTCCGCTGAGGGACGTCGCTCCAGTGGCTAAGTGGGGGGTGGAACCCTCGCGGGACAGTGTGGCCTCAGGACCCTAGGGGTCACAGAAAGAC